ATATCAGTGGGGGGTATTCGTGAAAATGCCACCTTGTTTTGGGGAAACAAGCAAAGCTACTGGAGAAAGATTAATTCACTAATTCCATGGCTTATTTTTTTCAAGTATTTCCTAAGAACCTACCACGTGTCAGGCTCTGTACTTAGTGCTTAAAACCTCAGTCCCAAAGTCTTAAGGAAACTTTCTTTTGGTAATCTGGGTGTCAGATGTATCTAAAACCTGAAAAAATCCTCTTTCTTCTGTTTCTTGTCCTGCATCTTGTGGAACAGATATAGACATTGGGAAGGAAGGGGTGGTGTTTTGGAGCTGGGGTTCTTCACATTTTTACTACTATATCACAAGAACACAGAAGATATTTACACATGATACATCACCATATGCTTACTCAAATTCTGACAAAATATCAAAAACGCTTAGAGATAGTAAAACAAATCGATAGGTGGGAATTTTTCTTAAGATGTTTCTTCATTAAAAAAGTAAATCATGCTGATTGTCAGAGGCTTGAGGTTCAGGGGTGATTAGAGAGATGTTAATCAAATGAAAAAACAAAACAATAGGAGGAATATGTTTAAAAAATCTATTGAACATCATGCTGACCATAATTAATAACAATATATTATATATTTGAAAATTACTGAGAGTAGATTTTAAGTATTTTAACCACAAGAAATAAATATGTCTGATAATAAGCATGAATTAGCTTGATTTAGCCATTTCACAATGTATACATATAGGAAGCATCATGTTATACAACATAAACGTCTGTCATTTTTATTTGTCAACTAAAAAATAAGTAATTAAAAAACCATGAGTTACTATTAAGGGTTATCCAAATTAAAGGACTCTCAGTGCCTCTGCAGCATGGACAACACTAGCTTTAGATTATGAAAACGTCTTACAGGCTGGCTTTAAGTGCATGTGGGCAAGAATGAGCTTATTAAAGGTATAAATCTGAATTTTCCCCAATATATTAGAAGAGTAAATTATTTACAAATTTTGAGACCTTATATGTTATTAGAAACAAATTTCTTATGACACATATTATAACAAAGCCTGCAATATATTGTGCTGCAAACAGAGACCATCCTTAGGAGCAGAGGGCAGTGGGGTAGTGAGGTTTGCAGCTGTCTCATCCATTAGGGACATGATTTTAGCATACAGAGATTCTGTATTTTGAAGAATCTAAGAGTGGTGAAAAATGCTTGACATCTAAAACACACATAACAAGGAAAATGGAAATGTGAAATTAATACTTGTACAAATAAATATCTAGATAATACAACTAGGCAAAGAGGTAACTCAATTCCTATATAGTTACCTAAAAATTATATCACGTGGTTTGTGAGCACGTTTTAATACAATGTAATGATGGTAGGAGAGTCTTCTGAATTGAGATTGCATAAAGACATAAAAGACCTTTATATAATCTCCAAAAGAGGAAATGGTTATTATCAAAAAATAGAACTGGTTAGGAAATCTGGTCAGGAGCTGCAGAGAAGTGGCTCCATTTTTCCTTTAAAGTGTGGACCAAATGTTCTTTATGATCCCCCTTCCAAGTCTCCTTAGTTCTACAGTTGAAGCTGACTCCCATTGTTCTACAGTGTTCCTGGGGCTTCTGTAAATGATGGAGATAATTTCTCTTTGTATTGAGACAGATGGGTGTTTTTCAGAGCATTTGAAGGAAGATGGCCAGGTGGTTCTCACCCAGGCTAAGTCCATCACTAGTGGACATGCCTGATGCACCACCTAAAGCCCTTGGGTCTGGTTTTTGAGACACCAGTTCCATCTGAGAGGTCTGATCTCAGGCTATTTTCCTTTCATTGGGCATTTCCTTCATTTCTTTTTCTCCTCTTTCTTCCTGGGAAAGGAGTTTTCTTTGGTCATATTTGAACGAAGAATAAGACTTTAATGTTGCTAAATATTCATTAAGATGTTTTGCCTACTGGAAAAAACACAATCGAATGATGACCAAACAGATTTAATAATAATAATGATGATGATGATGATGATATAAACAAGAATAATCTACTTTTCTGAGCACTTAATATAGATTAGTATATTTAATCCTCACAATTACCACGTGAAGTTTTTTTTCTTTACTCACATCTTCCAATTAAAAATACTGAGGCATGCAGAAGCAAAGTGACTCCCCCAAGATCTAGTTAGTTCAGGAAGAACTGGGAAGTGAATGCAGAAAGTCTGGCCCCAGAACTCAATGTCTGCACCTTCTTTGTTGTATTCTTTCCCAGCCAGCTTGGCTTCTTGCCCCATCTCTGCTGTTCTGGCTTTTTTTCCTTGCTCAGCTGGATGTTCTCTTGGGAGCTCTGAGAGGTACTTCTGTGAGACGTTGGATTATGCCTCTTTTTTTCCTGAGTTTCTTTTCTTCTCACCATTAACTCTTTCCTAAATGAGGCTCAAACTCTCCAAAGGTGCTTGACAGAGAAGCAGCAGGGCTTTGATGGAGCTCTAAGAAGTCACTGAATGAAATGAAAGTCCTTCTTTCCACCTGCAGTAACCTCCTTCGCAGAAACTCATTAACAGGCATGGAGGCCTCACTGCCCAGCTCTCCACCTGCCTTGATATCTCGCTGTTGGGGTGTTAAAACATCACAGAGTCATAAGCAGAGAGCAGAAGTTGTTTTTACAAGGACGTGTATCAGGTATCTTACTGTTTTATTGAGAAGGAATACGTTAATAACTGGAGGGGTTGGGAAAGTTGTGAGAAAATAAATGTCCAATAAATTTCCTCCTAAGGAAAATGAATTTGTTTTTTGGGGGGCTTTTGCTTATATAAATTTGAGTTCAATACTTTAAAATAGAGGAGGCAGAGCAATGCTACTAATGACTTCTCTGTGCTCATTCCAGCAAAGCTCAGCCTCTCTTCTAAGTAGAAGTTGAACATACACACACACACACACACACACACGTACGTATATATATAATATGTATGTATATTTAGGATATATATTATATTTACTATATATATACATATATATACACATACATATATATACTATACATATATATATTTTAAAGAGACACAGTCTTGCTCTGTCACCTAGACTGGAGTGCAGTGTTGCCATCATATCTCACTCACTGCAGCCCCAAACTCCTGGGCTCAAGAGATCCTCCTGCCTCAGCTTACTAAGTAGCTGGGACTACAGGTGTGTGCCATCATGCCTGGCTAATTTTTAAATTGTTTTGTACAGACAGCATCTTGCTATGTTACCCAGGCAGGTCTTGAATATCTGACTTCAAGTGATCCTCCTGCCTTGGCCTCCCAAAGTGCTGGGATTACAGGTGTGAGACACTATGCCTGACCCAAATATTTAAAATATGGGCCAGATGCGGTGGCTCAAGCCTGTAATCCCAGCAGTTTGGGAGGCCAAGGCGGGTGGATCACGAGGTCAAGAGATCGAGACCATCCTGGTCAACATGGTGAAACCCTGTCTCTACTAAAAATACAAAAAATTAGCTGGGCATGGTGGCCCGTGCCTGTAATCCCAGCTACTCAGGAGGCTGAGGCAGGAGAATTGCCTGAACCCAGGAGGCGGAGGTTGCGGTGAGCCGAGACTGTGCTATTCCACTCCAGCCGGGGTAACAAGAGTGAAACTCCGTCTCAAAAAAAAAAAATAATAATAATAATAATAATACTGGCTTGAGTGATGTCAAATTATTAGCCTGCCCGCGACCTTTACTTGTCTGGATCTGGCTCTGTTCCTTTCCTTGTAGCCATCTGGAGTCCCATTGTTCCCTCCCTGTAGTCCACCATGCTCTGAGCAAGTTCATTTGCATAGAGGCAGGGAGATGGACGGACTCCTAAACTGAGGATTTTATTCCTTTGCATCTCTTCTTTGCGGCCCTCTGAATACCGTTATCAGAAGATCAATCTAGTGTTTATTTGGTACATTTATACTCCTGATTCTCTCTTTACTGTCTGTGGTTCCTTTTCTTCATGTTTCCTTCTAGATTCTTAATCACACATTCTTTCCCTAGTCCTAATAGCTGATAGATAGTTCAGGGTTTCATAAGGAAACAAATATTACCTGAGTGGCAGGAAAGCCAAGAAGGACTCTTTACTTAACGCTTCTTGGCAGCAGGGAAAATGGTTCTTTCTGAGGGTTAGGGAACAGTGGGGTGGAAAGAAGGGCAGTATTAGCAGAGTCAGCAGAGGCTACAGGTGGGCAATATATTGATTTCTTTTGCTCAGAATCATTTTCATGGTGGACATCTATAGATAATGAAACTCAGACATAACCAGGAGCATCCTGTGTAGAACTATTTGGGGGGAGTATGAGAAGTCTATGAGGAGCTGGTGATGAAAATTGCCTGTCTCTGTTTCATTGGCTGCCCCATTGCTCACTGCATTGGGAAAGAGATCAATCTGGATCAGAGTGGGGAAATGTACCCCTCTAGGCTTCCTCTGGATTCCCACTTGATACTCTACCTCCTTGCACAGGGAGCCACAAGTGCTAGTGTCCTGTGAAATGTTCAAGGCAATAGCCAGATAAATTTAATAGGATTAAATGTAACAAAGTTAAAATATAGTTTAGTTAATAGGTTTTCAGGAAGGAGATATATTGCTATGAATACAGGCCATTACAAAGTGGTATGTCTTAAGGAGTTATTTTAAGGTTAAAATTTTGATAAACAGAAGTAGAAGGGGAGGAAAATTAAAGGTAAATGTAGAGTAAAGTCTTGGGGCAAGGGACAAGTATAACACAGGTAGGTGGAAAATGCTACTTGTGTGGAAATAGTAGAATGAGTTCAGAAAGGGAGGGTGGGGCCAAACTCTGGGGGCAGGGTGGTTGGAGGCAGGTGCTGCTGCCTCTGTTGGTACCTGAAGCATTATTGCCACAGAAACTCTATATGCAAAGGAAACATCATGGTCCAGAAGCCATTCCTACACCTAAGTGAACATTCTCTGGGAGAACTTGACCCTGGAAAGTCCAGCAATTTAGAAATTCATGCTGTCTTTTATGATATTTATACATATTCAAGAGTGCTTTCCATTTCTATCACTTTCAGTGGACTCATCAGCTTCTCAGTCGCCGTAGAGGACCATAGAGTGCATCATGAGTTACACCAATCTTACCGTCTTCCAGCCTGCAGTTTTTGTCCTACTTGGCATTCCTGGGTGGGAGGCTTATCACATTTGGCTGTCAATACCTCTTTGCCTCATTTACATCACTGCGGTCCTGGGAAACAGCATCCTGATAGTGGTTATCATCATGGAACGTAACCTTCATGAGCCCATGTATTTTTTCCTCTCCATGCTGGCCGTCACGGATATCCTGCTGTCCACCACCACTGTACCCAAGGCCCTAGCCATCTTTTGGCTCCATGCCCATAACATTGCTTTTGATGCTTGTGTCACCCAAGTCTTCTTTGTTCATATGATGTTTGTGGGGGAGTCAGCTATCCTGTTAGCCATGGCCTTTGACCGCTTTGTGGCCATTTGTGCCCCACTGAGATATACAACAGTGCTAACATGGCCTGTTGTGGGAAGGATTGCTCTGGCCATCATCACCCGAAGCTTCTGCATCATCTTCCCAGTTATATTCTTGCTGAAACGGCTGCCCTTCTGCCGAACCAACATTGTTCCTCATTCCTACTGTGAGCATATTGGAGTGGCTCGTTTAGCCTGTGCTGACATCACTGTTAACATCTGGTATGGCTTCTCAGTGCCCATTGTCATGGTCATCTTGGACGTGATCCTCATTACTGTGTCTTACTCACGGATCCTCCGAGCAGTGTTTCGTTTGCCCTCCCAGGATGCTCGGCACAAGGCCCTCAGCACTTGTGGCTCCCACCTCTGTGTCATCCTCATGTTTTATGTTCCATCCTTCTTTACCTTATTGACCCACCGTTTTGGGCATAACATTCCTCAACATGTCCATATCTTGCTGGCCAATCTTTATGTGGTGGTACCACCAATGCTGAACCCCATTGTCTATGGTGTGAAGACTAAGCAGATACGTGAGGGTATAGCCCACTGGTTCTTTGACATCAAGACTTGGTGCTGTACCTCCCCCCTGGGCTGATGGATCCTCATGAATCTTCATGTCCAGCTCCTTCAAGGAAGCTAGATGTGAAATACAGAGATTTCCTGGACTGAGAAGGCTTTTCTTCCTCTTCTTTCTATTTCATCATCCTTCCTGCCCCCCACTTTCCTTTCTTTTCTTAAAATTCTTCCTCCTTCTCCTGTTTGTTTTCTCTAACCTCTTTACACATTCCTCTCTACGACCCAGAAATAATAACTAAGTGTACATGCCTCTAATATGAAGCTTTCGTACCCTCAGTAGACTAGATAGATGCCAGAAGCACAGGGAGCTGAATACCACATGAAATGAGGTTATGAAGAAGTGGATAAAAATAATTTTATATTTACTATCTGAAGGAGTTTTAATTAAAAAAAAAAAATCCCAAATGTGCATTGATCCTTTAACCATCTGGAAAAACTTCCTCTCCTTCAAATTTTAGTTCAAGAACTGCCTTCCCTGAGAATTCTTTTCTAATTTCTCCAGGCAAGTCAAGGGTCCTATCTTTGCATGTCTAGTGCATCTTGTACAAATCTCCAAATGTGCACGATAAGTTGTAATGTAACGAATTGTTCGTTTATTTGTACCCTCAGTTGACTGTAAACTCCTTGAAATCAGAAGAGTGTATATTATTCATATTTGTACCCCCAATGCATTACAGAATGCCTGACACATACTAAATGTTTGAAAAATGATTGGGAGCACAATTATCTCCTTGAGGTCATAACGGGCATCTTTATAGTATACTGAAATGACCAGCTAAATTAGTCCACAAAATCAGTGATTAGTAAACCATCTCCTCATGAAGGCAGTTTGGCATAATTAAGGCAAATCAACTGCTGATTTGCAGTAGTTCCCTCTGCTATAACTCAAGAGTCCAGGAACAGACAAAGTAGGAGGAAACAGGTTACTCTTGATTCTCTCTTACATCTGGTTTTTGACCAGACCCAGAATTAGGAATTATAGCATATTATTCATGGCCAGGTTGCCAAAATTGGAGTACTCTCTTGGGATTCACAGTCTCGCCCCTCATTTTTTCATGTTTTTCCAGAAAAGGTCATGTATACTCATTTCTTTACCACCAACACTGATGAGTCCCACATCCCTCTCTCTCACCTAAAACTCTCTTTTGAGTGTGAAACACACAAATCCATCTATTAACTGGTTATTCCTCCTAGGATGTATAACTCCCACTCCACTTTTCTTTCTACATTTCATTTCTTGGGAACTAGATTATGATGATCCCATCACCTTCACTGAGCTGGAAACCCTATAGTCTTTTTCAACTTCCTCCTCTTAGGGCTGATAATCAAAAGTTATTGGTTGATAATATATTGATAGTGCCACTAAATAAGTATGTGGATAGTATTTGGACTCATATCAGGACTCAAGTCTTGTCACCATCATTTTCTAGCTGTGTGAACTTGCACAGTTCATTGAACATTTTTAGTCCTCAATTTCTAAATCTACAAAATGGGTACCTTAGAGGTTACCTTCACAGGGTTATTTAGAAGATTAAATAAAGTAAACCTTATGACTATATTTAACATAATCCTTAGCTCATGGTTTCTGAGAAGTATTTTGCTAATACTTATTAGTATCATTAGTCTTTTCAACATAGCCTCTACCAATTGCTCATTACTTTTCTCATCTTTCACTTCAGATATTGTATTACTTTCTTAATTGAGCTCAATAGTTTCAATCTTTTACACTTTAGCCTAAACTATGAAATGACTATATTAAATGTTCTAAAAGACAGAGCAAATCAAGCCATTTTCTGTTTAATACTTTGGAGGTTTTTCATTACCTACAGAGGATTTTCCACAGAATATTCTGTAGCAGTAGATGTCAGATATGAGTAAATTTTTGTTTGTTTGAGACGGAGTCTTGCTCTGTCGCCCAGGCTGGAGTGAAGTGGCGTGATTTGGGCTCACTGCAACCTTCACCTCCCGTGTTAAAGTGATTCTCCTGTCTCAGCCTCCTGAGTAGCTGGGACTACAGGCATGTGCCACCATGCCCAACTAATTTTTTGTATTTTTTAGTAGAGATGGGGTTTCACCAAGTTAGCCAGGATAGTCTCAATCTCCTGATCTTGTGATCTGCCTGTCTCGGCCTCTCAAAGTGCTGGGATTACAGGTGTGAGCCACTGTGACTGGCCCAATTATACTCTTAGTTATTTTAAAAAGTGTAATTAAATTATTACTGACTATAGTCACCCTGTTGTGTTAGCAAATACTAGGTCTTATTCATTCTATTTTTTTTTTTTTAATCCATTAACCATCCCCACTCTCTTCCCAGCCTCTGGTAACCATCTTTATTCGCTGTCTCCATGAATTCAATTGTTTTAATTTTTAGCTCCTGCATGAAAACATGCTAAGGTTGTCCTTCTGTGCCTGGCTTATTTCACTTAACATAATAACCTGCAGTTCCATCGATGCTATTGCAAATGACAGGATCATTTTTATGGCTTAATAACACTCCATTGTGTATATGTACCACATTTTCTTTATCTATTCATCTGTTGATGGACACTTAGGTTGCTTCCAAATCTTGGCTATTGTGAATAGTGTTGCAATAAACATGGGAGTGCAGATATCTCTTCAATATATTGATTTCCTTTCTTCTGGGCATATATAGGAGTGGGATTGCTGGATCATATGATAGCTCAATTTTCAGTTTTTTGAGGAATCTCTAAACTGTTCTTCATAGTGGTTGTACTAATTTACATCCCTGCTAACAGTGTATGAGGGTTCCCTTTTCTTCACATTGTCTCCATGATTTGATATTGCCTGTCTTTTGAATAAAAGCCATTTTAACTGGGGGGAGATGTTATCTCGTTGTAGTGTTGATTTGCATTTTTCTGATGATCAGTGATGTTGAACACCTTTTCATATACTTGTTTGCCATTGGTATGTTTTGAGAAATGTCTATTCAGATATTTTGCCCATTTTTTGATCACATTATTTGATTTTTTAATGGAGTGGTTTGAGCTTCTGATATGTTTTAGTTTTCAATACATCATCAGATACATAGTTTGCAAATATCTTCTCTCATTCTTTGGGTTGTCTCTTCACTTTGTTGTTTCCTTTGCTGTGTAGAAGCTTTTGAACTTAATGTGGTCACATTTGTCAATTTTTGCTTTGGTTGCTTGTGCTTTTGGAGTAAAACTCAAGAAATCTTTGCCTACTCCAGTGTCCTGGAATGTTTTCCCATTGTTTGATTTTAGTAGTTTTATAGTTTGAGGTTTTAGATTTAAGTCTTTAATCCATTTTATTTTGAATTTTGTTTATAACAAGAGAGAGTGGTTTAGTTTTATTCTTCTGTATATGGATATCCAGTTTTCCCTCTATTTATTGAAGAAAACTATCTGTTGAAGAGATTGTCCTTTCCCTAGTGTATGTTTTTGGCACCTTTGTTGAATGTGAGTTCACTGTAGATGTATGGATTTGTTTCTGGGTTCTTTATTCTGTTCTATTGCTCCAAGTACCTGTTTTTATGCCAGTACCATGCCATTTTGGTTACTATAGCTCTGTAGTATGATTTAAAGTCAGGTAATGTGATTCCTCCAGTTCCGTTCTTTTTGCTCAGTACAGCTTTGGCTATTCTGGATCTTTTGTGGTTACATGTATATTTTAGGTTTTTTTTTTTTTTATTTCTGTGAAGCATGTCTTTGGTATTTTGATAGAGATTGCATTGAATCTGTAGATTATTTTAGGTAGTATGGACATTTTAACAATAGTGATTCTTCCAATCTATGAACATCAAATATCTTTCCATTTTTTTGTGTGCCTTCTTTAATTTCTTTCATCAATGTTTTATAGTTTTCATTGCAGAAATCCTCTAATTCTTGGTTAATTCCTAGATATTTTATTTTACCTGTAGCTGTTATACATGGCATTGCTTTCCCGATTTTTTTTCTTGAGATTGTTTACCGGTGGCATATAGAAATGCTACTGATTATTGTATCTCCGTATTGTATCCTGCACCTTTACTGAATTGTTTATCAGTTTGAATAGTTTTTCAGTGAAATCATTAGGTTTTCCAAATATAAAATCATATCACCTGCAAACAAGGATAATTTGACTTCTTCTTTTCTAATATAGAAGCCCTTTATTTTTTTCTCTTATCTTATTGCTCTTGCTAGGATTCCCAGTATGATGTTGAATAACAGTAGAGAAAGTGGATATTATTGTCAGTTTCCAGATCTTAGAAGAAAGGCTTTTATTTTTTCTTCATTCAGTACAGTATTAGCTGTGAGTCCACTGAATATGGCATTTAGTATGTTGAGATATGTTCCTTCTATCCCCAGTTTTCTGAGAGTTTTATCATGAAGGGAGGTTGAACTTAGTCAAATGTTTCTTCAGCATCAGTTGAAATAATAATAGGGTTTTTGTCCTTCATTCTGTTGATATGATGTATCACAGTGATGGATTCACATATGTTGAACCATCCTGGTATTCCTGAGATAAATCCACTTGGTCATGATGAATGATCTTTTCAATGCACTGTTGAAATTAGTCTGTTAGTATTTCATTGAGAATTTTTGCATCAGTATTCATCAGTGGTATTGACCTATAGTTTCTTTTTTGATGTGTCTTTGGTATTGGCATAAGGGTAATAATGGCTTCATATAATGAGTTTGGAAGTATTCCCTCTTTCTCTATTTTTTGGAATAGTTTGAGTAAAATTGGTATTTTTTTTTCTTTCTTTAAATGCTTGCTAGAATTCAGCAGTGAAGCCATCAGGCCCCAAGGTTTTTTTTTTTTTTTTTTTTTTTGGAAGACTTTTTATCATGGCTTCAATCGTGTTAGTTGTTATTGGTCTGTTCATGCTTTAGATCGCTTCATGGTTCAATCTTGGTAGGTTGTATGTGTTTAGGAATTTATTTATTTCTTCTAGATTTTCTAATTTATTGTCATGTAGTTACTTATAGTAGCCACTAATGATCCTTTACATTTCTGCAGTATCAGTTTTTATAATGTGTCCTTTTTCATCTCTGATTTTATTTATTTGAATCTTCTCTCTTTTTTATTTA